GAGAGACAAATTTCGAAATTTGTTTTGGTTTTGATTTGTTCAAGTTTGGGATATGTAAAACTTGGATTTTGATGAATTGGGAGTTGCAGGATCACTATAAAGTCCTTGAATTGAAATGCGACGCCTCCGATGACGAAATTCGTTCCAACTTTATCCGCCTTGCCCTGGTTCCTTCTCTTTTATTTTTCCCCTCAGTTTTTATGTGGTTTTTTTTAAAACCCCATTTCGGACAAACTCTGGGTTTAGGTTCTTCAGTCATTTGTGTTTTTGTTGTTTGCAGAAGTGGCATCCGGACAAACTTAAAGAAACGGATTCTGCTACGTCTAGGTTCCAAGAAATCAACGAAGCTTATCAAGGTTTTGTTTCTGTTTCTCTCTGATAACATGTAGATGCAGCTGTGTAGTTTATTATGTTTGATAACAGTTTCTTGTTGAGGTAGGGTTTATAAATGGAGAGTTTAGAGTGAATTTCCTATCTTCTTCTTCTTTGTTGGACTTTGTTTTGTAAAATGTATGATTAAAGACAGAGAGGTTTTACTAGTTTATAGGGTTAAGGAATTTTGTTTCACCTAGTGATTGTTTATTCCATCGGTATCTATGAACTTTAACAGTAAAGTTTGTTCATTTTATTCAACAGTCTTGAGCGACCCCTTTACGAGGCATGAGTACGACAAGAAAAGGATGCGTCATATCCATGAGCACAACATGGTAGTAGAGAGAGTTAATTTCCATTCAAGAGCAGTTACTTTCAAAGCGTCAAGTTTGATGAATTGTCCCCATTGTTTGTTGCAGGAACTATTTAACCGGTACAAGGAGCTCATATTGACTTGCAATGGCCTTGGGATGAAGAACTTTCTTTGGTAAATGCAAAATTAAGGTTAGGTGATAAGTAATGTTTATATGATGAAATTAGGGACATTAGCAATTTAGCAGGGGTGAGTATTGAGAGCAAATCAGCGTCAATTAGCTTTATGTTCTTTGTTTTAGGGAGAAACAAAACCCCTTTGTATGAAACCGTTTCCTCTTGGTCGGGAGAGTTGCGTAGAAATCATTATATCAGTTTTCAACCTTACCTGAACTTTGATGGCGAAAATAATCTGTTCAGCCTCCAGGTTCGGCTGCATTGCTGCAAAATCTCATTCTGGAGAGTTATCAAGACATAGATGAGTTATTGTAGTTTTGAAAGATTTCGGTAAGGGTAAGTTAAGTCACTACTTCTCAGTAAAAAAAAAAGGGTTTGTAATTTGCCCCAAGTGAAATGTCAGTACTCTAGATTGGGTCTTCTTCTTTGTAAATGAAAGGTGCCGACAACAACAAAAACAAACGTCCACCCAAATCAGACTGAATATCATGCATGATCTAACAGTAGTCATGAAAAAACTCAAGTTAAAATTAAGAAGGATAAACTTTGGCTTTAAGTTAGATTTTGGAAGTGGATGAAGTATTTAGAGATATTCTCCTTAAAAACTGCTTTACAAAAAGTGATTTATAAAGCCCATTTCGTCGAGTTTGGTCCAG